CTGACTCTAAGGCAGGGTTATCTGCTCAGGAAGGTGGAATTCCAAGACCAATGTAAACTAAAGATAATACTAACAGGAGAAATCATTACACTCTTTCCATGTTAACAGGAACAGGACGATATGCTACACAACAAGCTCAAATGCGATATGAGGCAGGCCTTTTTGCTCAATCACTCTGGCAGCAACCAAAGCATGGAAAAAGCTCCCCTTTAGTGGAGTCACTTCTTCCCTTATAAAAATAAAACAGAAACCTGAGGAACCCTTCTCTGATTTCGTTGATCACCTCTTAGAGGCAACTGAGCGCCTCTTTGGCACCTGCAAGGACAACTCTGACACTGTTAAACAATTGGCTTATGAAAATGCTCATCCTGCCTGCCAGGCTGCTATCAAACCACACAGAAAAAAGGAGGATCTCTCAGGTTATATTTGCTTGTGCGCTGACATAGGCCCTGCCTACCATCAAGCTCAGGTCATAGCTGCAAGTACAGCTGCAGCTGTAAAGGAGATCCTCCTCACACACAAGCAAGAATGGAAAATCAATAATGGCAAATGTTTTAAATGTGATTAAACAGGCCATTTTGTCAGACAATGCCCAATGGCCCAAAAGTCCCAACACAATAACCCAAAACCAAACCCACAAACTTGTGCCCGAGATGCAGAAAGGGATATCATTGGGCTAATGAATGCAGATCAAAAATGGATGTAGATGGCAACCCCCTCCCCCAGCAGGGAAACGGGAATCGGGGTCAGCCCCAGACCCCCTACCTAGGACAAGCCCCTGGGGCTATAAGGTTTGTCCCACAACAAAACAACCCAGCACAAAACAATCCATCTCAGACCTCCTCCGCACCACACAAGGAAGCGCAGGATTGGACCTCTGTTCCACCTCCAACACAGTAGTAACCCCAGATACGGGTGCTCAAGTCATCCCTACAGGGACTTTTGGCCCCCCCTCCTCCTAATACATTTGGCTCCACCCTATATAAGTTTTCACCATTTTCAGAATAAATGAGACTTGATTGGAACCTTTCATCTTGTCTCCGTCTCTCTCTCCTCTTGCCCAGCCCCCCATCTCCGTCCACTCTCCAGGCGAGGCCCACAGACTGATCTGCGGTCCAGATCAAAGAAGTTCTCTGTTGATCATAGCTATTTGTGGTTTCATATGCCTCATTTATCTGTATGTCCATTTCTATATGTGTGGGGAGATTTTTGCCATTATTTCTGTGCATGGAGTATTTATGTCATTTGTGTTGTCTTCTGATTTGTCGCTATTTCCCATTATTCTCAGATCAGTCTTCTTTGAATCATCTAGCAGTGATGACATCAATTTTTCATTTTCTCTTGCTGCTCTTAAGATGTCTTTGGGTAGTTGGCCTCTGAAGTCATCATTGTCTTGTAGTTCTGCAATTCTGTTCCCACATTGCTCTGTCCTGCTGCTCACACTTTCAATATGATTTTTTTAATTTCCTGAATTTCTAATTCTAATTTCATGAATTCTAATTATTTATTGAACTGGTCATTCTTGCATTGTATCATTTTCTTTAGCTCATCTAGCTGTCTGTTAGTGTCTTCTGAGAGTTCTTGCGTCTTTTTGGTTATTACTTGCATTATATGTTTATGTATACTTTGTCTAATCATATAGGAGTATCACTTTGAGCTGTTTTCTAACCTGTTCTGCTATGTGTTCTGACTACTTCATATATGCAGTTTATACTGTTCTGTTCCTTGGTGCTCCCAGATTGGCTTCAGGGGATTTTGGGACCCTTTTGCCTTTTGTTCCCATTTCTGTACTTTTGTTTGGTTTGTTTTATGCTGCTATTTGTGAATGCTTATTATCTAAAGACTTTGTTACTAATACACAGATCTCTTTAGTTTCTGTTCAGTGATGTACTTGGGAATGGCTAGCTGGACTCCTTTGCCACATCCCCTAGTTTGGCCATTTTGTTTATTTTGGGAAAGGAGAATGGACTGTAATTAGTCCAGCAACCAAGTTCTCTGGCATTGTACTCTAGTATTGATGTAGGGGATTTGGGCATGGCAAAGCTGGTTGGGAAAATATGCATAACCTGTTGATTACAAGATCCTAGGACACAGCACCAGAGCAGTCTCAAAGCCCAGCACAAGGATTTCTTGTGAGAAATTGAGTAGATTTTCAATAAGATGGTCTAGAACTCACATCAGCCTGAGGTGTGGGATTTCAGTACCACCTCTCAGGGCCCATAGGTAGAAGTTCTCATGAGTTTCAAGAAAAGTTGGATATAAGAAAAGGACACAGACAGTAAGAAGATCCTGCCCTAGGGGATTTGCTCATGATATCCCCCCGGTATTCCCAGGGTAAACTCTTAGCTTATTTTTCCTCTTATACTTAACCTAGCCTCCCTCGACAAAACCAGATTTTCTCTCATGCTTCACTTTTAAATTTTCAAACAAATTTTACTGCTGCTTTTTACTCATTTCATTTACTTTTTTGTTGAAATCAGAAGCACCTGGAATCCAACTCCAGAAGCAGAGGTGAGCAAACTAAAACCTGATAACATTTAATTGGTGAATTAAATCTTTTATTTAATCTTTCAAAGGATCAATTCTTTGGTTCATTGATTCTTTGTATTATTTTCTTAGTTTCAATGGTATTAATTTGTGGCCTGAACTTTATAATTTCCTCCCTTCAGCCAATTGCAAATGTGAGACCAGCATGGGCTACAAAGTGAGCTCAAGGCCAGCCTGAGCTGTATAGTAAAAAACTATCTCAACAAGACTAATAATAATAATAATAATAATAATAATAATAATAATTTCCTCCCTTCTACAAACTTTGGGCTTGATTTACTCTGCTTTTTATAGAAGCTTGAAGTTCAACATTAGGTTTATTTGAGCTTTCTCTGTTTCTCTTCTGTGGACAATTGCTGCTATAAGTTTCCCTCGTAGTGCTTTCCTCACTGTGTCCCATAAGTTACAGTATCTTACATTGTGCACCTACAACCCATTTCACAAGAGAAGATCAGAAGTGAGAAAGCAATGTAAGCCACTGTGGACAAACCAATGCTCGGCATCAGCCATAACATTTTCCATAGAGAAAAAGAGAGGGAGGGGGTTGGAGGAGCAAAGGGAAGGGAGGAAAGAGAAAGAGAGAGAGAGAGAGAGAGAGAGAGAGAGAGAGAGAGAGAGAGAGAGGGAGAGAGAATGGAGTTCATCTGAATGCAAATGCTGCTTTCTATCTGTATTTCTTTAGTTAAGATATTTCTCTCATAGGACTTCTATTATTGATCTATAAAATGATACAGTGCCTGACTATATGATTATTGCAGGAACTGTGATATTAAGTACTAGTACTTCAGAAGCACTGAGTAGACAAAAGCCAGTATTACTCCCTTTTTATTAATCTTCAACAACTCTAGATAGAAGTTGGTTCTTGGTTGCTGGACTAATTACAGTCCATTCTATCTTCAACAACAACCCTGCGTATCTCCTATTTCTTCTAGTTCATTTCATATACCAACCTCATACACCACTGGGCTTATTTCTCAGGATTCCAGCAGCTCCGCAAGAATCCAGTCAATAGTCATTTTTTAAAAAGCTTTTGAAACTGCTGAACTCCCATAAACTTCAGGAGAATTCTAAATCCCATTGTTCTGAGGATTTGCACATTGGTCTGACTCTGTTCCCTCGAACTTCATGTCTTTGATGTATGTCATAGATGACATAACACTATTGTCAGCGTCTTCACAAGCCTATACTTCCCTATTCTGTGAGGAACAAAGAAAATGTGATTTCAGGTGTCATTTGTCCCTGTCTCTCCCACCTGGCTCATTTGACTACAACTCAGCATCCAGGTGTCAGCTAGAACATCCTTAACAGGTTTATCATGTCTGCTAAACTTCTCATAAACACTATGCTTTCCGTTCTGTAGAAATCCCCAATTGCAGTAAGATATGACTGTTTTAAAATAAACTCTAAGAGGGTGAGGACTATATTTGTTTATTACTCACCGCACCCTGAGGTCCTAGCACAGTGCTTACTAAGCAGAGAGTAGCTGCCAGGGAAATGCAATGAAACCCACCTAGATCACTGGAGGAAGGCATGCATGACCAAGACAGCTAAGGACAGTGGGAAAGCAAATTGAGCAATTACAAGCAAGGACACCTTTCAGAAATGGCTTTTAATCTTCAAACATACGTTGGCGGTGTCTGAACTTAAGATATCCCCTTTATAGACAGATATTCTCAATTTAAGATTGTTTTTGTTGATTCGCCCAGTTGGGGTCCCTTCCTGCACTCTGCTTTTGCCCACCTTGCTTTCTCTACTTATCACAGGCCACCCCCAGCCCTCTGGAGTTTCCTGGCTGGCTTGCATATCGTAAGTATAAAATTGACCTCAGTGTGGTGGCTGATGATCCACTGCTTCATGATCACTCTATTGTTTTATAATTCCCTGTGTCAGCACAGGTAGTCCATAATATGTTTGTGTTTGTTTATGATGGAATGGATACAGTACTAATACATTGGGGTTTTTTGTTGAGGATTTCTGCTGTAAGGACTAAAGTGAGACTGATTTTTACGGAAGTGTGCCTGAATGCCACATATATCTTAAATCTCCTAGTCTGATATCTTTTTTCATGTATGCAGTTAACTATACTATAGGTAGTTATCACAACAGACCTACCAAGTACCAAGGCTAACAACCATGGCAGAGAGCAATAAGAGGACCAATTACACTAGTAGGAGAAGGAAACTGGTCAGCAACTAAATGCAAATGGGATTCCTGGCAAATGCAAATGTAGATAAAAGGAAAGCTACCTGCTGATCAGAGGCTTAAAAAAATAGTAGGCTTTCTGAGACTCCACAGATTAATTCTTACAGCAACAAAATGTTTCACAAAATGCTTTTGAATGAGGTAAATCTAATTATCTCCTGCTTTGCATACCAATCATAAAGGGTAGCCCTAAAAAAATAGAGGAAGGAGGAAGTGAAAAGACTTTAAATACTAGCTCCACTTCTCCTGGCCATCCTCGTGGCCTGTGCTTCCAGTCATCATGAAGGCTCTGCTTCTTCTGGGCCTTGTCCTCTTGTGCGGGACCGTCAAGGGAAAGATCTACAAAAGATGTGAGCTGGCCAAAGCTCTGAAAGAAAAAGGAATGGCTGGCTACCATGGAATCAGCCTGGCAAACTGTAAGTCTGCTCTCCCTACCTGCACACACATTCCAAGAGAAAACGAATGGTCAGAGGGGTTTCCTGGGAAGAGACCGCTATTTTCTTGCAGTGTTCAATATTATAACATTTAAGCATGATTTGCTGCTTTAGAATCAGAGTTATCAGGAGAAGGAATGACGCCATGAGAGGAAATATTCTCCATGGTATATGTTTCACACCATCTGCTGGACTTTTCTGGGGTGACTAGATTTGCCTGTTGCTCCAGATTCAATGGCCTGAGAAGCCAGAGGAAAAGATGCCCTTAGATAGACTGGTGTGAAACCTGGGTTGTAGAGGACAGAGTGATGTGGAAGCTTTCTATACATTCTTTATCCTGATACAGGGTTTGTAACAACAAGATTTTAGAAACTTAATGTGAACTTGTAAGAGGAGAATAAGAATGTATTTCTCCCCAGTAATCGTTTATATGAGGGGTCTCTGCAGTTTAGCAAGATGAGTTTTCCTGTGGGTCTCACTGCATTGTCTATTTTTCATTTTCCTCCACACCATTCATGCTGTGCCATCAAGAGAAGCTCCTAAAGTTTGCTGCATATTTGTCAGTGTGATCTCTTGGTTTTCAGACTATTGAAACATTTCCCAGTCAACAGCTGCACTTAAACGAATAAGGTAGTAAGTGGAAGAATGGATGGATGGACACAGATGAAGTTACATAATAGTCTATTCTGCTCTCCGAGGCTTGTTCTCAAGAATCTTGTGTGACGTCTAAATTTACCTTTAGGACTTACAGGCAAATGTGTACCTCTTGGAAAAATTCTGTTTTTTCTAGTAATACCCACTTTCCTGTGAGCTTTCCTGTGCTATACATTTACTAAATCCCCTCAACAGCTGTGCTGATGTTTGCACTCTATATTGAATATCGACAGAGTAATGAGAGCAGGGCAAATGTGACAGCAATGGCGACGCAGGCATTTCCATGCTTTTAAAGGGCCACATCTTGCTTCATGAGCGTTCCAATCTGAGATGCCTCATGGAAGAGATTCTCTGAGAGAACCTTTAAACCCCAGCATTGGGCTGAGCAGAGTGGTTCACACCTGTGCTCCCAGCTACTCAGGAGGCTGAGAAAGAGGATCCTTCCAACCCAAGAGACCAGCCTGGGCATTATGAGCATACCCTGGGACACGACAGCAAGAAAAACAGTCAAGTGCAAAATACTTTGTAGTTTAAATACAGTATATGCTTGCACTTCTAAAATAAATATCTCTAGGGCGGGGGGCACAGGTCAGCAGCATAAGCACCTGCATGGCAAGTCCAAGTGATTCATGGTACAAAATAAAATTTTTTATTTAAAAAAGAAAATTATAGAGTAAGTGTCTGGTAACATAGAGTTAGTTAAAAAGAGCCACCATGGTAGCACAGACCTGCAATCCCAGAACTCAGGAGACTGAGACAGGAGAACTGCCATGATTTTGAGTCAAGTGTGGGCTACTGAAGGACATCAAATCCACTCTGAACAACATGATGAGGTCCTCTCTGAAACAAATAGAATCAGATGTAAAGATCTGACTTTGGTATACAGTGTAAATCATTTCGTATTATTACTCATTATTTCAAATATTTCCTCCGCAGGGATGTGCTTGGCCAAGGCGGAGAGTAGTTACAACACACGAGTTACAAACTACAATCCTGGAGACAAAAGCACTGACTATGGGATATTCCAGATTAACAGCCACTATTGGTGCAACGATGGCAAAACCCCCAATGCTGTTAATGGTTGCCACGTATCCTGCAAAGGTAAGACAGGAGAGTGCTAGAGAGTCGGCCAGGACCCCTCTAGCACAGACAATAGAGATTCAGTGCAAAGGACAATCTGGAAGGATTCTTCTGGCTCCTAAGGAAACCACAACTCAACTGCTAGAAAGGAACTGCTTTCTCCATCAAATTTTGTAGCAAGAATCACGGGTTGGGGTAATTGCACAGGGTAGACAAACTTCTTAACGTGCCTGCTTTCCTAAATTTCACTTCTAGCACTGGAAACCACAAACCAACCAACACTCCAATGTATAGCACAAAAAGTTGCTCGTTTCAGATGCAAGTTTATGAAATTATTGATTAATTTAATATCAGTTGCTATACTGAGATTTTTATCCAGACCAGTGATAGTTGTGTTATATACTTAGGGATATTTAACAAATGGTTGTGTGGTCCTTTATGACTGTTTCTCCTTTTGTTATGAAATAGTCTGAACAGCCATGGTGATCAAAATATATTTTGCATGGTTAACTAAAAGTTTTTATTAGAGTAAAATGCACATTGCCATTAATTGTCCTTAAAATGCTCTCCCTCTCTCTGACAGAGAGTAGCATTATTCTCGTCACCTTTTGAAGCAGTTCTGGAAGTCTGTTTTATGAGTTTCTTTTCCAGTGTCATCACCAAACAGGGCCTGCCGCTGTGGAGCACCATGCAGTGGAAAAGCAGGCCTGTAACCCCTTAGGGTGTGTCCTCAGCCACCTACTCACCAGAGCTGGCACCATTCCACCTGGGCCTCTTCTGCAAAGTCAAAAGAGCCACGGGAGTCAGCAATCTGAATCAATCTGGGACACTGAGGCCGCTGTGACAGCGAGCACTGAAGACACTCATGAAACAGAACCTGCAGAACTGCTTCAGAAACTGGCAAGAGGGATAGATCAACTGTGTTCAAACAGGGAGAGTAGTTTGAGAAGCTGATGGCTGTGTGTCTTTCACGGTCATAATACTTTTATTGAAATATACAATTTTTTTATCACATCCCATGTAACGTTTTTAGTTTTTAGTGTAACAGTGAAATGTGTGCCCACTTTTAAGAGAACTTATTATCAGACCAGCTGTTCCTCTCCACATATATATTTATTTGCTGGAAGATTTTATTGTAAATTAGAACAAGATTGGATTTTCTTAATATTTTGATTTGCATATCAAAAAGTAAAAAATACTAGGGATCTTGGAACATCACAACACTTAACGAATTAATTTATGAACTCATGCTTTTAACATGTTTATTAATTTATTATTTTATTAATAATTAGTCCCAATTAATTTATAAACTCATGTTTTTCTTTCGTTTTGTGTTGTGTTTTATAAGAGATCACATAGAACTTATAGAATGCCAAAGTATGAAATAATAGACTCCTGAACTGATAATGAAGTAGAAATTCATGTGGATTCTTTTTTACATACAATGGAACATAAATATCTAAAATGTGGTCTTACCAAATGGTTAAATGTTAAATGTGCCATGAGACGAGATTGATTTTCGAATACTCTTTTCAATCTGGTTAATTTATTTCTAAATACTTTGTACTACATAAACATATAGTCACTAAAGAAAAACTGAAATATACAAGCAAAAAAAGAAAAACCAAACTAACAATGACATTCTTCCTACTGAGGGATTCACATCCCTTTTAACTGTATGTATATGTTCGTTCAGAATGTACATGAATGATGTACAGGCAAGTAAATTATGTCATGTACATGTGTATACACACAAGCATGCAAGAAATTAAGTAATTATATATTTGGCTTAGTAGTTTGCATAAGTATCACATAAAATTATTTCCATATCGCCAAATGCAAATCTGCATTTTTAATATAAATGGTGAATATAATTCTACTGTATGTATACTCCATCGCATTTATTAGATATTTACTGAAAAGCACTTAGATTTTTTTCTATTTTTCTCTTTTGTAAATTGCTATGAACAGCTTTGTGCATATATGCTTGAGTGTCTTTCTTCTAATTTTTTTAGAGAATATTTTTTTTAACCAGGAATCAAATTCACGATCTCTTATTTTTTTTTTTTAGGATGAATAATCCATAGTAGAATACCCAAGGAAAACATAACCAGGCATTTCTTTAAACAGTGTATTGTTCCAAGGGTAACTTTCTGTTGCAAATGTTAAGAATTCCAGAGTTCCCAATGGCTTTCCTTAAAGAGAACAAAATGCTTAATTTCATGTCAAAAGGGGTAGATGAACCATCCTAAGCCTTGGCTAGCTGGATCTAAATTTCAAATGAAATTCCCATGTCAGTTTTCATTCCCCACTGTTTCTCTTTCAGATTTGATGCATGATGACATCTCTAAGTCTGTGGCTTGTGCGAAGAGGGTTGTGAAGGACCCACAAGGCATTAGAGCATGGTATGACTGACTGAGTGTTAGGGGGGAAAGGCTTTTACCTATTATCAGCATATGCAGTGAGAGAAGATCCAAAGACCAAAGTGTCTTTGAGCTAAAACTTGGAATATGGTGACAAAATGTATTCCCATTATCCAGGAAACATCCATCTACCTGAAGTGACCCAGACTCCTATGCTTTTACTCCACCATTTATTTTAGTGGGTTTTGGAGATTTAAAATTCTCCACCTTCCACTATTTCCATGACATTTACTGAAAGTATTTCCAGAACAAGTTAAGGGTGGAATGTACACAAGCCACCATTTCTGTGCAGCTTGTTGCGCTGCGCTCTGAGTTTGGAAAACAAAATACTTTATATGCCTTTTCCATTCAGTAAACAGTAGTACTTGATTCTAGCTACTTATTTCTTGAGAGTATGTTTTGTCACTGATACGGATTTGAAGTATGTGTGTTGTAATGAGGACAGATTGTAACTTTTTGTCTGTTTCATTTCTCTTTGCAGGATGGGATGGAGAAAAGAGTGTCAAAACAAAGATCTCTCGTCCTACGTTAAAGGCTGTGGAGTGTAACTGAAAAATTTCCTTCTTCAGCTCATTTTCCCTTTTTCATATAAAGGAGGTAGCAGATAATCAAAGCTTCATAGTACCGTTGCTTCTCCTCCAAACAAAAGAAATGTTATGGAAGCATTAGAAAAACACAGTCTTTCTCCTAAAAGCCTTAGTGTGAACTAATAAATCTTTTCTTTCATGTCATGACTAGCACAAATGGTAGTGAAATTTTTTCTAATACCTTCAATCTCATAAATCTGCAAGGAGATACCCCAGCCATAAAAGAAAATGCCACCAATATTCCTCAATATTACATAGAAATACAACAGAAGTCATGGGAAAGTAAATTTGTCTTAGGAAATAACCCTGCTACTTGACCATGTGATACCTTCAACTGCTTAGCACTTTCAAATGAAGTAAAATAGAAAAAAAAATTAGTATCCTTTCATCCACATTTACAGATGATTAGAAGGAACACATTCAGTGTGCAGTTGAAAGACTTGCAGACGAATTTCTATACCAGTGCCCTCTGACCACGCTTTAGAAACTCAAATGGTCCTCAGGACTCAGTCTCAAACTCTTCAGTAGACATACTATGCTGGTGGGATAAAATGTGATCATATGATCACTTGCTTCCTCATAGACACAAAAATCCTCACTAAGTCACTGCCAGCAGAATGCAGCAAATCATCAAGAAGATCACACACTATAATCAAGTGGGATCCATCCCAGAGAAGCAGGGATGGTTCAAGATAGCAATAAACATCATGTGGTACATTACCATAGCCATGCCCCAAACCACTTGACCATCTCGATAGATACAGAAAAATTACTTAACGAAGTCCAACACCCATTCATAATGAAGAAAAAGAAAACTTTGCAGAAAATTGGAATAGATTTTGCTTATCTCAATCTAATAAGTGTCATCTATGAAAAACCAACAGCGAACATCATACTAAATGGAACTCAACTGTAAGCTTTCACTCTAAGATCAGGAAAAAGACAAGGATGTCCACTGTCACCACCCTTACTCAATATAGTTCCAGAAATGTTAGCCAGAGCCATCAGAAAAAAGAAAAAAGAAAGGAAGAAAGAAATAAAGGAAAGGAATAAGAAGCAGAAAGGAAAAAATTAAAATATCATTCTTTGTGGATGATATGATGCTCTACATAGAAAAGCCCAAAAACTTCTCCAAGACTTCTAGATTAAATAATCAAATTCAGTAGTGTAGCTGCATAGCCAACACTCAAAGATCAATACTTGTCCTATACACAAACAGCAAATACACTGTGAGAAATTAGGGAAAAGACATTTTCACAATAGCATTAAAAATATAAAATGAAATACTTGCCGGTATGCTGGTGCAAACCTGTAATCCCAGCATATGGGAAGGAGAGGCAGGAGGATCACCGTGTTTTTCAGACCAGTCTTGGTTACATAAGCAATTTCAAGGCCAGCCTGCACTGCATGGTGAGAACCTATTTCAAAAAAATAAGATAAAATACATGCATACATACTTAGAAATCAACCTGAAGAAGAAAATAAAAGAACATTACAGTAAAAAATACAATGTTCCCCAAAGAATAAAGATGGTATCAGAAAGTGGAATGATATCCCTTTTTCTTCAGTGGGGAGAACCAATATAGTGAAAAAAAGGGGCAACTTTCCAAATTTTTAAACAGTTTTAATGCAACTGCAATCAAAATATCAACAGCATCCCTCACAGAACTAGAGAAAACAATCTTCAAGTTCATCAGGAGCCAGAAAGACCCACCACAGCCAAGGCAATCCTGGGCAGCAATGGCAAGGCGGGGCCATCACAGTCCCTGACTTCACAGTACTACAAAGTGAGAGTGACATAAAGAGCAAGGTAATGGCAAGAAAACAGACCCAAGGATCAATGAGGCAGATTAGAAGATGCAGAAACAACTCCAACACTTAGCTACCTTACCTTTAACAATAGCCCCCAATGCTTTCACAGGAAGATAGTCTCTTGGGATATGGTGCTGAAAAACCTGGTTTTCCACATTGCAAAGAATAAACCTAGACCTGTGTCTACCATCACATGCTACACTAAAATCAAAATGGGTCAAACATCTAACGAGTGAAACAGAGACACTTAATGGGTTGAAACATGGACTGGATTTCAGCATAGAACTCTTGAACACACAGGTGTAAGCAAAGGCTTTATGAATAAATCCTCAACTGCACAGAAAATATCACAAAGAATCAACCACTGGGATCACCTGATAATTTAAAAGCTTTTACACTGCCAAAGAAACCATTCACAGAGTGCAAAGACAGCCCACAGATTGGGAATAAATTTTTGCCAGCTGTTTCTCACTAAAGGGCTAATGTCTCAAATATTAAAAAAAAGCCCAAGAAGCTGGACACTCTGAGAGAGTTTAAGATCATCACTCCCAGTGGTCAAGGATCCGCCCAGCTTCCAGCCACACCAGGCTGGGCTCTGCAGGTTTCGGGCCTGCCTGGGCCACGGTCAGTCAACTTCTTTTCAATCTAAGGAACTCAGCTGCCAGCTGAGTTGAGTTCCTGCTCACCATCCCGAGCCCTGGGAGAGTTTAAGATCATTGATCCCAATGATGAAGGACCTGCCCAGCTTCCAGTCATACTAGACTAGGTTTGGGAGGTTTTGTGGCCTGACTAGATAATGCCCAGCAATCTTCTTCAATCAGGGGAGTTGAGGGCATGTGAAGTGAGTTCCAGGGCATTAGTCCTTGTCTGGGAGGGCTTTGGATCCACAGTGGTTAGATACCTGCCCAGCTTCTTGGAACACTGGACAAAGACCGAGAGGGTCCAAGGGCCTGACTGGACCACGCTCAGCAACCTCCATTTAATCCCAGGAACTGAGGGCATAGCAGACGATTTCCAACACTCCCAGGGAAAGCCTTGGAACAACACTTCAAACGCGGAAATATAGGAAAATGGCAAAACAAAAACCAAAATGAAATCTCAAACATCCAGCCCATCCCAAGGAAGCTAGACACTCCAAGTTTAAAGGCCCAATCCAAAAATGAGCATCTCATATGAAGACACTTGTCAGATGAGGAAGTACTAATGACAAACAAATACATGAGAAAATGTTCCACATCACTGATCATTCAAGAGATGCAAAGTAAAACAACACTGAGGTTGCATCTCCAGAAAGAATGACTAGTATCAGGAAATCAAGCAATCACAGATGTTGGCAGGGCTGTGGGCATAAAGGAACACTTCTCCACTCTTAGTGGAAGTGTAGACTGGTGCACCTACTGTGGAAATCAGGGACAAGATTCCTCAGAACATTATAACTAGAAGTTGATTTGACCTAACTGTGGTTGTCTAACTAATGGTCGACCTGAACACCCAGCTCAACTGAATCAGCATGCTCTGAATATGGAATGCCCACCTGAAGATTGTTTCCTCCAGCATGAAAAGGAGAGGTGGAGGGGAGGATGTGTGCTGTTAATTCTTCTGGAGAAGCTTGTCACATGGTTTTCCTGACATGAACTCTGCTATTCTCATCATTGGAGGAGCTTGGGTCCATGATTTCACTGAGCACGGCTGCATTTCCTTTCGGGGGAGCTCTAGTCCTTCCTTTGAGCACAGCTTCGTGGCTCCATTGCAGAACCTTCAGCCTGCTGACACAGATCCTTCAACCCACTGGAGCAGACTTTGTAGCTTCCACCACTGACCTATGGGCCGTCTCAGGGTGGATCCATGGAAAAGACTTGCATGCATCATTGTTATGGGCTCTAGGACTCCATTTGGACTTTTGGAGGACATTGCCCTGGAGTCTTGGTCTTCAGCTAGACTCGAGTAGGAGATTGTTACGGCCTGTAGGACTTTGCTTGGGCTGATGTGGGATATTCCCATTGTATGTGAGCCTTCTGCTGGTTTTTTGGGGGCACTCGTGTGTGGACAGGTCTTCCGCACTCTTTTGTATTTGACTCTTTAAGTGAATATTATAAAATGATCTTACAAATTATGTGTCCTGTGTTAAATATATTTCTTTGGGAACCCTGATCATAACACTAGCTCGTCCCCTTCTTGATCGTTTCCCCAAAGAATTGGAATCATATCACAGCAATATACCCACTCCCATGTTTCTAATTACACAGTTTGTAATAGCTAAATCTTTGGAAATGGCTCAAATCTCATTAATGGATGAATGTATGAAGAAATGGGAAGCTTTTTGTTTTGTATTGTTTTGTTTAAAGAGAATAAAGACAAGCAGATTAAAACAGAATAAAGCCAATCAAAACAAACCAGTGTGACATCAGACTTCAAAACAATATGAAATTAACAATTGTTACCGTAATGCCTCTTGTTGCCTCCAAATAGCTGCAGGTACCTTCAGACATAGTCAAACTCAAACAGAAGAAAACAGAACAGGACCAATAGAAACAAAATAATAATGCAATAAAAGATATCAAAACAAGACAATAATAAATCCAAAATGGCTACCATAATAGATCCTATTGTCCTTGAATTAGTTGCCCATGCCATCGGATATAATAAAATCAAATGAAACAATACACAATAAAACCAACCAAACATAAGAATGAAAGTGATACACGATTTCGAGAGAAGATAATAGGGAATTAACAATGGCTACCACCTTCAGAGGGAGATTCCTCATAGGTGCCACATTGTGTGTTGTTATCCTCCAAACAGATGATCAGACTACCAGATTTAACTGCAAAATCATTGAAACACTAAACTTACAAGCATTAAATTGTGTTTTACTTCAATAGCTATCACCGCAGCCTGTGTTTCTCCAGATCAGCTGATCATTTCTGGGGCAGGGACACGACGAGTGTGTAACTCTTGTTGTTTCTCATCCCACGCACCATAAAGGGCTGGCATCAGGCTTTCCCTGCCAATGGTCTGTGCATGGGGTTGATTCGCAGAGAGGGATTGCTTCTTGTTCTCTTTCCCTGAAGTCTGAGGATGGCCAGAAATGGCCAGTTTTTCTACAATGGAATCCTACTCTGTCATAAACAAGGATGAACTTGAGTTGCTGCTAGGTAAATGGATGCACCTTGAGACCATACACTTAAGGTAAATATATTGGACACACATGTTTCACTTGTGTGAGATATCAAAAGGGTAAATATGAATTAAAATAGATATAAAATAGATACTGGGAAATAGGAATAAAATGCTAACTGGGAAGGGGAACAAGGGATGGGTCAGAGGAAGGG